ACACCTGCCTTTATACAACAATGGCACCGCGGAGCAGTGGTAAAGAGTGTTCTCTTGTCACACAGTGAATCAGTTCCGGGTGGATACAGAGCCAGATATAAAAACAAAAGAACAAAGCTTCAAAAACATATGCCCTGGCTGGTGTGGCTCAGTGGATTGAGCACCAGCCTGCGAACCAAGAGGTGGCCAGTTTGACTCCCAGTCAGGGCACATGCCTGGGTTGCAGGCCAGGTCAGGTCCTCAGTCGGGAGCACGCGAGAGGCAACCACACATTGATGATTCTCTCCCTCTCTTTCTCCCTCCCTTTCCCTCTGTCTAAAATGAATAAATAAAATATTTTATAAGAAAATATTGTGGAAGAAATTCTTCATGAGTTTGGCATTGAAAAAAGATTTTTTTTTATTTTAATCATTGTTCAAGTACAATTTTCTGCCTTTTACTCCCATTCCAGCCTGCCCACCCATCCCTCCCCACTTCCTTCCCATTACCACCCCCCCATATTTTTTGTCCATGTGTCCTTTAAATTTGTTCCTGTAAACCCTTCCTATTCTCCCCTGAAATTCCCTCTTCTTTCCCCTCTGGTCACTGTCAGTGAAAGACAAATACCATATGATCTCACCTTTAACAGGAACCTAAACAACAAAACAAAGAAACAAGCAAAATATAACCAAAGACATTGAAATAGAAGACAGGCTGACAGTGACCAGAGGGAAAAAAGATTTCTTAAACAGGATAGAAGTACCAGCCATAAAGTCAGGACCGGCTACATAATTTGTGGGACTTGAAGAATGCAGCAGAGAGCAGGAAACCGAGAGTGGGCCCTCCTGAGCACGGGACCCTGTGTGACTCCACAGCCACATATGTGCCCCTGAAGCCAGCCCTGCAGAATGCTGAAAGACTAATAAATTGAACTATGTACAAGGAAGGACCCCCCAAAACTGAATTTATTCAATATTTATAAAAAATTATGTATTTGTTCTTGCATGTTTAAACTTCAGTCACCTTCAACGTATTTTCCACTTGATGCAATACGCCTATCAAGACATTTTTCTCCATTGCTCAAAACAATTTTTGAACTCATCGATTTGGATGCCTTTTAGTGCTTCTGCTGTTTTTTGTTACACCTCTCCCACATAGGCAAAACGCTTCCCTCTGAGGATGTTTTTTATCCAGGGAAACAAAAAAAGTTGTTCAGGGTGAGTTCAGGTGAATGGGGAGGGTGGGGCACAGGGGTCATGCTGTTTTTGGTCAAAAACTGCTGAACACTCAGCACAGTGTGGGCAGATGCACTCGTAAATCGCCCATCATGAAAAGGAAAAACACGCTGAGACAGTCTTCAAAAAAAATTCACTGAGGCCAAACACAGCCTCTCAGAACACCACCAGCTGCTACACTGATACAGATGGGTTCCTAGAACACTCACCTAGAGGGGAAACCTGTACTACAAGGGGCCTACCCTCCAGAAGATAATCTGGGTGCCCCCTCACAAAACTAAGAACTGTTGTGTATTCAATGTCATTCTGAAGAGAGTGAAAATGCAAGCCATAAAAAAAGTGGAAAAGGTATTCGCAGCACATACATCTCAAAGACTCATACTCAGAATACACAAACCTAAAACTGTATTATCTCCTATGCATGTTACAAATTTCTTATTGTTCCACCTATATTCCAATAATATTACAGAAGTATCCATCTAATTGCTGAGAAAAAGTAGAACCCTCTTACATCAGTTTACGGTAAAAAAGAGTGGACTTTTGAGACATCTATGTTCCAGTTCCATCTGAACCACTTATTATCTATGTGACCTTAGCAAATTAAACTTTCTGAATCTCAGTTCCTCAACAAAATGTGCCTAACAATACATACCTTTTTGGAATTGCTATGAGAGATAAAACCAACATTTTGGCAGAAAGAATGTATGTAATGAGCAGTTACAGCTGCTGCCAATCTCATCATTGATTTTATTACTAATATTACATTGGTTATCCTAAGATGAATGGTTAAATATAAGGGGAACATCTGCTCTTCCATAAGCAAACATTGATCCCGCTCTTCTTATTCCTACCCCAGTTTTAAAATAAAGGGGTCTACCATAAGGCTTGGTTAGGAAACCATGCAGTCTAAGCAGTTACAGCACCTGTGCTAGAAATAAAAATGATCTGGTCATTTGGTTCATAATCCACACTAACTTATGATTCTTATTTCAAAATTATTAAATCCTCCTTGGTGTATCAACAGGAAATAACACACTTTAAAAAAATATTAAAATAGCTTTATTCCATAGCATGTTCTGAAAGGGGGAAGTCACTTGTGGAAAGATGTATGAGCTTTGAACCCATGTGGGAAAAATAAAGGTTATCTGGACTTTTGCATGGGTGTGTTGTATTTGAATACATCACTGCCAATCACTGCTAAAAAGGAAAGTCAGTGGGATAGTGAAATCTCAATTCTTTAGAACTCTAATTAAACACATTTGTTATCAGCTGACCTTGAGGAAAAAGGCAAAAATACAACTACTAGAATCAGGCATTTAGTTCACAAATCACATAAACTCTGGAGATCTACAAGGGGTTAAAACAAAAACTACCTAGTCAAACTTCTGTCTCCCTACATTATAAAACAGTATATGATGAAAAAGATCATTTTGATGCATCATCATTTCTTAACAAAAATATATTGTTTGATTTAAGAGTCTGATTACCAAGGTGAGAATTGAACTCCCCAGGAAAAGAGTCATTAATCTCATGTTGTCTGAAGTGCAAAACCCTGTCTAGCATTAAAGAGACAAATCCTAAACATAGGGAACCAGTCTGCTTGGCAATGGTGAATGTAGCCCAGCCCTATCGGAAAACCGGCAGGCACGAGTCAGCACATAGGAGCCAGACCCACAGATCAGCTTTCCCGTGGGAAACCAGGCCTGCATTATACCTAGGCTGCTTTGAGGCTTGCTTTTGCTAAAACTCCCTCACACTGATTTGAAGCACCAAATGTTTACTGCATATCTTTAAAGTAACTTCCTGAAGTCTGTGCTAATTCTCCCAAGGACAAAGTATAACCAGACTGTCATTCTTATCATTCCCTTGCATCTGCAACATTTTTTCTTTGTTAATCTGCAAGAAGTAATCAGCAACATCCTTTCCTTTATTATCTGTAAAAAGTAATCACATAAAGCAAACCTGAGCATAATGAATGAGAACCTTCTTTGATGTATGCTATTAGAAAGCAATAAAAGCCTGTCCAGGCAAGGGTCAGGGTGTTCTCTCTCAAAGAGTGGTTGTGCTGTCCCTTTTTCTCCACAGGACTTCTGCAGTCCATGTGAATTTGTTCATTGCATCCACAACATACAGACTGCACTGGATGGAGTCCACACCACCTAAATACATGGGAAGTGTGCATTCACCAACTTACAAATTAAATTGGTGCTTGTGGACACATTTTTGCAAAAAGACATAAATGCTGGTTCTTTCATCAGGCAAATAAGTTCAAATTCTAAATGATTATCAGTCCCTGGTAATTATTAGCCCAGGATCCTAGGCTAGCCTGACACTCTTCCCTGTCTCCTGACACTGGTTTTGTGCCCCCTTACACTTTCCCACACATCCAAACTCCACACATTTACCTTTCTGTTTTAACTTCTGGTACAAACAACAACAATGGGTAGGTGAAGAGTTGAAAAGAGAAAAATCAAAATCAAGGTATCTTAAATGAAGAAAATAACATGTTTACTGGACACTTGTGAATTAATCAGAATCCATGAAGAAAATGTGAAGTGCTTATAATGCATGCCAGTTTTTTCTGAATAGATATATACACATCTATAGCTATATCTATACCCTCCTTCTACAGCCATCTCAGACAACTGGCTCTGGAAAAAACTCCCTTCGAAAACAGTCTACTCAATTAATTCCTCCTTCTTTACGGGCCATTGTATCACTGTGAGAAACGAGCAACATTGTATTTAACACACATTATGTTGAAACCTTACTTAGTAACTAGCAAGAATAATAACTTGGGGATAACAGTGTTATAATAAAAGAGGGGAAGAAAACATATTACTTTCTTTTAATAATAAACATAAGAATAGAATTTAAGTCATTAATGTTATCTGAAACTAACCAAGCCCTGAGAATTCTTTTATCAACAGAAATACATCTGAATCTGGAACTTACAAGAAAAACTCTAGGAAGTGTCACTTTATATATAAAACGTGACAGAGTAAAGGAACAATAATAGGAGGCAACTTTCACATGCACCTGAAAAGCTGCCACAGGAGTTTTAGCAAAACACGTCACTGGTGCCTACGTTTACCATACCTGAACATACTGTTCTGCCATGCTGCATGTTAACAAAGAATACAAAACAAAAATAGGGAAATGTTAGCAGAATAAAACATAAAACTACTGCATGGAGAATCATAAAATTAACTCACAAGGCTTTATATCTAGTATTTGACATGCATTAGTAATTAAACTACTTTTAACTCAACTAACAAACCATGCATCTCTTAGTTACAAATGGATTACATACTAGATGGGTTTACTTGTTAAAATATTTTGTCTTTTTCAGGTTTCAGAGCAGGTTGTAAGATCCTGTTACAAGAGTCTCCTTCTTTCAAATTAATTTTTAATTCACTTATTAACACAAAGAGAATAAGAAAAAAAAAGCATGCCTTTTAGGTTGTATCTATTTGATGCTGTTTTTAAAATAAAGATTTCAGTTATTATTTAGCATCATGTAAAAATAACCAATGTCACAGTGAAGTACTACTGCAAATCTGGAATAAAACTAAGTTTGTAACATCAGACATGTAAAATACACATTTTAACTGAAAAATAAATTGGAAACTGTACCAGTTATTCATAGTTCTTAGTTCTGAGGGGATAACATTCCATTTAAAACCTTTCAACAGATTCAGAAATGCAGAGACTACTGACTCAGCTCGCTAACATGCCAGTCGCACACAGGCTGCATAAGAGCTGACCCCCGCCCCCAGCACTCACTTCTCTTCTGCGACACGGCCTGCAAGCACGCGGTCACCACATCGCAGTTCCTCTGGACTTTATGCACGAGCCTATCCTTCTGCTTCAGCTGCCGGAGTAACTTCGCCGACTGAATACCAATTCTGTTCTTAAGCTCTCGAAGGATCATCTTCAGTTCATTAGTGCCTATTAGAAAATTTTAAATAGAGCAATAAACACCCTGAGAGGAATACAAGTACCAACATGATACTAGTCGTTTAAGGTAAATTATCTAGAGCATCTACTTGAAGCAAGTAATTCTGAGTTCTCACCCACGACTATGTGTACTTAGTCAGTGAAGATACTCTGATCCAGTAAGTCACTCATCCATTTCCACTCTATCCATGAGACAACTACTGTAAAATCAATTTGATCCTGTAACATGTAAGCAAGTCTCTTACTTTTAGCATATTTAGCTCTGGTTGCAAAGTTGCCTTTCAGTGCTTGAAAACTGGAATGTACATTTTGTATCATTAATGCGCTCAGAGGCAAAGCTACAAGAAAAGAATCGTTTGAGTCTGTTACATCAATGATAATCCTAATAGCTGATAACAACTATTTTTAAAAGTATTCACTTTTGCTTATAAATAATCAGTTAAAAGTAAATAATACTAACACATTTTCTAAGGCAGACAAATGTGAAAATCCTGGTTTTGTTTTAAATACACAGTCTTCCAATACCCTGACTATTAGGTATCTTAGAGACTCAGTAATTTTTCAAATATGTAGAAAATGCATTTCCTTTAAACAGATAAATGAAAAATAATTCTGCATTCAAAAGCTAGTATTCTCAACAGCAGTTTTCTACAAGTAAAAAAAGACTTGAATCAGAAATATCAGCAATCTTTATATGAACAGTCATTACAATTTGGGAGTTTTGTTCGCCACACTTGATGTTATCGTAAGTCAGTGTAGTGAGGGGAGGGCAAGCCTTCCATGCAGCCTGGCACTGGCCAGGCCCTCACTGGGGATCCTGTGTGGAGTCTGGATCTACTCATGTTGAAAACGATTTGGAGAAACCAGAGAGTACCAGAAGAGAACAAAAGAAATGTTCAAAAGTAGTAAAAATACTTCAGAGGTCACAGGGAGTGAGCATTTGGGGTCTTGTTTCAGAGAAGTGCAGGAGGGTGCTTTAGCGGTGGCCATAGCTGACCACATCATTTGGAAAATGTCATTTGACCTTGAGTGAACAAGGTCAAACTTCCTTTGGACCGACCAACCATCTGTGTGATCTTAGGCAAGGTAGTGCTCCAGGTCTCAAATTATGCTTAGAATGCAAGATTATTCTAGAAACAGTTGTTAATGGTTGTTATAAACGCTAATATAAATAGGACTTAAATAAGATTAAGGAATGTCTATGAAGATGAGAACAAAGAGTGGTTATTCCTCTCACCTTGAGTTCAAACACGATGGGATATAATGGGAAGTAAGAGCTCACTTAGGTTAAATGAAACTCTTTGGGTTCAAAAAAGATGATCAAACATGAGAACAAGCTACTGGAGGAGATCCAAGGGTCTTCACTCTTAGATTCCTTCAGAGAGAGCAAATGTCCGTTTTCTGAATGTTTAAAAATTGTCCTTCTCGGGGTAGGAATATCATCATCTTGTATTTAAATTGTACTATCTTCCACAGGAGTCATTGTCAGTGACTCTTAAGGTATCTACAGCTCTGTGGGTCTCTGAATTACACATATTGTCCAGTACAGGAAAAACCTTCAGAGTTTGGAAATTTGCTGGTACATAGGCATTTTGAAGACAGGCATAAAGTCTTGTTTATCTTTGCCCCATGGTGTGAGCTATAGCTCCTAACACAGTGTTAAATAAATAGGGAAAATGAGATCATCAAATGATAAACAGTGGCCAATTTCCTCTCTAAGGAATTTCACATTAACTCACACAATTCTCACAACCCTCTGAGGCAGGTATTGTTATCCCTACTTATAAGAGAGGAAAAGGACACAAACAGGTTAAATCGCTTGCTTGAGGCCACACAGTTAGTAAGGAACAGTGGCAGGATATCAGTCAAGCATTCTGACTCCAAAGTTCATTTCTAAAGGAAAACAATGAGACGAGAGCGTAGATTCCCTGAGAAACCATGTTGGTGCCTCAAATAAATAAAGGTCGGAGTCTTACAGGTCTTATGAATGATTACTGAGTGGTCACTCATCTGAAATCCACTTGCAAAACTACACTGTCACACCCTGGTTGGTCTAGCTCAGTGGGTTGAGCACAGGCTGCGAACCAGTGTCACAGATTCGATTCCCAGTCAAGGTACATACCTGGGTTGCAGGCCATGACCCTCAGCAACCGTACATTGATGTTTCTGTCTCTCTCTTTCTCTATCTCCCTCCCTTCCCTCTCTAAAAATAAATAGGTAAAATTTTTTTAAAAAGCTACACTGTCACTTCCTTAAACATTAGTTTGCCAAATTCCCTCTTCCAAAAGGAAATTACTAATCCTCCAAATTTGCTCTGTAGTGAAAAGTGAACAGCCATGGGAAAACAGAAAGCCAAATCATAATTCTTCAGAGATGGTTTTGTTAGATTGTGAAGAACTATTGCCCTATGGAACTACAGGCATAAACAGACATTCTGAGAACAGCCAGATAACTGTATAAAATGAAATGGCACAACTCCAGCAAAGTCCTGGGAAGGAGGAGGAAGGTGGAAGTCATTTGTAACAATCAGCTGGGGGAAAAAATCATCGCTAGGAAGCCAAAAGAGGAAGCTAAAAACTGTTACATAGATTTGATAAAGCAGACAGAATCATTCCTTTTCTGGTTAGTTTTTTGTTTTGTTTTGTTTCGTTTTCTGGAAACAGCTAGTCTGATTTCTCAATTAGAAGAGACAGGAGGTCATTCTACATAGTATGAATTCTCTCTTTCCCCTCTCCCCTGGTTATTTAGCACAAGGACATTAATTGGAGAAACGTGGTGGTGGCTTAGCATGTTTTCCACACCTCACTTCATTTTGTAAATCAAGGCCTTGCTACATCTATTTTGAAAAGACAACTGCAATAATTGTGTTTGTACCAGAAAGAAAAGCTATTTATGAACAGTTGAGGTGGGGGGGGGATCTCAGTTAGGGCACAGCATCAGAGTCTGATAGCAAGAAAAACACCCAATTAGCCTCTCCCCCGAAAACCAAGGCCGTTTTCGCATGACCTCTCCAACAGAAGGTCCCCGCCAGCAGCTGACTCCCGTGATGGTGCCAGCACTCCAGGGCCCCCCACTAATAAAAACGCCAGCCAGGGAGTTGCTTGAAACCAGACGTTTGGCAGAAATGGAATTCACTCGTTCTCCTTAGAAACCGCATTATCGCATTATTCTGCCTCACTGGCAAAACACTATCCAACTGGTGTGACCAGCGGGGCGGATTATTGTATTGATTTTATTACTTTATTGTTTGTTAAAGCCCCAGGCGCCTCTCTTCTCCCGGAGCCCTCTGGGACTTCACATGCACGTATCAGAAACTCCAAACCTGTCCTCACAGCTGTTCTGGAGAAATTAGAAATTCGACTTCGAGCCCCTCTGAGACGCCACAAACACTTGGGGTGGGGTGGGGTGGAGACCCGCCGCTACCTCTCCCACCACTGCTGCTCCACTCGACTGTTGGAAGGGGTTGGGGGTGGGGGAGACGAGAAATACGTCCACTCATGCATCCGTGACCCTGTGGACGCCAGCGACAGATGAAAGGAGACCCTGCAAACTTGGTGTCTGTGCGCTGGTTCATTCAGCCCGGATACGCACCGGTGAGCGCTGCAGCCGGGGCAGACCCGGCAGGGGCGGGCTCCCGGACGCCCCCTCCTCCAGGATTCCCCTCCCAGGCCCTCACCTTTCTGCTGCAGGTACTGCCTCTGGTGCCGCTGGTTCGGCCGCTCCTGCAGCTCTTGCAGCACGCTGGAGCCGCCCGCCCCGCCGCGCCCGCCCAGAACCGCGTCGGAGCCGGAGGCCTCGGTGGAGCTATCGAGGCTGTCGCCGCGGGCCGCGGGCCCTCGGCCCCCGCCGGCCCCCTCCTCTTCCTCAGCGCAGCTGTAGAGCTCGGTGAGCAGCCCGCTCACCAAGGACGCCGTGCGGCTGGTGCGACCGCCGAGCGGCTCAGCGGGCTGCGGGTCCTCCTCGCCCTCCCAGGAATCCCAGGAGCCCGGGGGCACCCCCCGCAGGCATGGAGCCCGGGGCACTTCAGGAGCCGCTTCCTCCGCGACGTCCTCCGGCCTCGCCTCGGGCTTTGAGCGCAGGACCCGGCCTCCTCCTGCGGGAAGGACCTCCATGGCCCGGCGCGCGCGCGGCGGCCCCGCTGCCCCAGCGCCCGCCCCGCCGCGCCGGCCAGTTCCGGGAGGAGGCGCGGCCTCTCCCCGCGAGGTGCCCTCGGCCAGGCGCGGTGCTAGGGGGCTCGGGATCCCCCCCCGCCCGGGCGTCTAACCTCCCCACGCCAGCGTCAGAGTCACCGTCCCCCGGCTCCGAGGGGCGCGCAGAGCGGCGTGGCCAAGCCGCGCGACTACTGGGGGACACCTGCAACAGGTGAGGCCCGATTTCGGCCCGAGGGGGAAGGGCGCTCTGGCCGCTGCCGCCTTCACTTTTAAGCACGTGATTAATTCAAAAAGAGAGCAATTCCTGCAGCGTCTTCAGCCACCGGTTGAAATAATGCCCCGCAGTGTTCTGGACACCGATCAATAGGCAGCGGCCCGGGGCTCCCTTCTTCACAATCCGGGGCACGACTCCCAGCCCGCGTCGCCTTCCCACCAGACCTAGGCGCCCTTCGAGCTGTTGGTAGTGTAGTTGCTGACGATAATTTTCGGAAGCCCTAGCATCTACTTGACATGTAATAAAGCTGTGACCGTCAGTGAAAAAGAAAGCACTGGATGAAAGTCAACTTATTTCCTGGCACAAGACCGACGAGAGAATGAGGGTTTAGTAAATACCCACGAAACGACCAAACTAATAAAGCGATGTAGCTGGTTCTCACAGTGAACCCAAAACTTTACATGGTGTCCTTAGGGATGTCTGTTTACAGAAGTCCTCAACAGAAGAACTCTGAGGTACCCCTCCAGTGTAGATACTTTTGCAAATTTAGTTATAATTGTCAGCGTTTTTTAGTGTCTTTGTGCTAGGCACTGTTCTTTTTAAATAGAGCCCGGGGCACCATCTCACTTTAACCCTATAAAGCAGGGGTTTTTTTAATTGAGGTCAAATTGACATATTACATTATTAGTTTCAGGTGTACAACATACTAATTTGTATTTTATATATTGTGAAATCATTACCACAATAAATTAACATCATTATGCAGTTACAAAGGCACTGTATTTGCCATGTGTAATGCACACGGTTTTGCCCAAATTTGTGAGGGAAAAGTAAGGATGTGCATTACACATGGGTATAATGATGACATGCCGTAGGTATAATAATTCCACATGTAATGAGCACAAAACGTGGACAAAATACAATAAGTACTGTTTTATCCTCACTTTTCAGATGAGGGAACTGAAGCACAGAGTTTAAGTAACTGCCCATTCACAAAGAAGAATAAACTTTTCTTTTTTTTTTAAAGATTTTATTCATTTATTTTTAGAGAGGGAAGGGAGGGAGATAGAGAGAGAGAAACATCAATGTGCGGTTGCTGGGGGTCATGGCCTGCAACCCAGGCATGTGCCCTGACTGGGAACCGAACCTGCAAACCTGCGACATTTTGGTTCACAGCCTGCGCTCAATCCACTGAGCTAGCCAGCCAGGACCAACTGAACTTTTCTTAAAGCCAAAGTCTAGCTTTCGTTATGGACGAACACGTGTTTCCTAATGCCATTCAGTGCGTGCCGAATTTGTAAAAGAAGCAACTATGCACCCAGTGAACAATGGTGGTGCTAGATGTTCCTTCAGCACCCTTCTACTTTTCAAGGCAGTTTTAGAACAGAGCCTTGGCCTCCAGGTGGAAACCTGGGGTCCCTCCGCACCACCCCCACAATACATGTAAACATAGAGTCAGAACAGTAGGACCCTGTTTGAAATTGGAGTTCAGGTAAGGAAAGTAGAAGTTTTAGAACTTTTCCCTTAGGTATCTGTAATTTAAAATTATACTAGAAATATTGTATAACTGTGTTAACTACTACTAATCCATTTAATTAAAATATATGAAATAAATGGAATAGGATTATTTATTTTGTTATGGTTTTCTTTTTAAAGTTTTTTCCCTGCTGTCTCTAGTATTGAGTAGGGTCCTGGGAGCCTTCCTTCATATGCCCAAGTTTGCAACAAGCAGGACTTGTATTAAGGGAAACACTGAAATCGGATCTCTTTTCTTAGTTGACTTCCCAGCCTTTTCTCTCTATTTCAGCCCAGTAGGAGATGTGATACCTGCTAGTCCTCAGCACCATCCTCATCTATGGTATCTCTGTTAAGACTTATGGATAAAAAAACTCAAAATGAGCTAAAGGGAATGGTGAAAAAGACCAGGAAAAACAGCAGGTCACTGACAGTCAACATTTCTACAACAAATTAATCAGAACTTGAAAATTATGTCCCATTCTCCATCATTATCAAATTGCCTAAGGAGAGGAAATTGGCAAAATAAAATAAGGAAAGCAAATTCAAGCGAATTGCATGTGTTAGAATGATCTTCCCCCAAATACCTGCATGTATTTATTCCCCTACTCCTTCCCAGTATGCCCTTATCCCCACTCCTTGGTCTCTTCTTCACCATAATACTCACCACTGCCCAACATACTATATCATCTACTGATTTATTTTATTATGTCTTCTGCCAGTGTCAATCAGTTTTGACTAAGAACTGCAAAGCAGACAAAAGTTGGGGTTTTTGAGAGATGCACTGACCAGTTGCCTCTCGATTGCCCCCTACTGGGGATCTGACCTACAACCCAGGCATGTACCCTGGTGGGAATCAAACCGGCAGCCTTTTGGTTTGCAGTCCTGCAGTCTGATGCTCAGTCCACTGAACCACACCATCCAGGGCAAGACAAAAGTTTTACTTGAGGGTCTTAGGAATTGCAAATCTAGAATTCACAGATTTGGGTAGAAACCCAATGTGTTCTGAGGAGAAAGAGACAGAGTTTATAAAGACAGAAAAAAGGGAGGCTTTCAAAAGCATTACATAAGTTGCTTTGAAAGAGCTGTGATTGGGGTTAGCAAGCCAACATACACTATGCAACCCATGATTTATTGTTTATGTCCATTTCTAGGTGAAAAATGTATTTTTTAAGATTATTTATTTATTTTAGACAGAGAGGAAGGGAGGGAGAAAAGAGAGAAACATCAGTATGTGATTGCCTCTCACATGCCCCCTACGGGGGACCTGACCTGCCCAGCAACCCAGAAATGTGCCCTGACTGGGAATCAAACTGGCAACCCTTTGGCTTGCAGGCTGGTGCTCAATCCATTGAACCACACCAGCCAGGGCAAAAATTTTATTTTTCAATAGGGAGTTTAGTGATGCAAAGCCAGTTCCAGAAACTGTATCGGGATGTAGCCCTTTGGTTTAGCCCAGTTCAAAGTTCAGTTTTGAAAAAGTCCAAATGTGAATGGCATTATTCTTTGAATTTTCCAGCACTAGAGAGCCGCCATAAGGAGTAACACCATGATTGCTTAAAGTCTATGGAGTTGTGAACTCACAGTTATTTAAGTCATACAAGAGAATGTAGTTACACATGTTTAAAGGGGCAAAAATCCAATAGTATGTCTGAACCATTTATATTTTCAAAACAAATAGGCAAGTTATCGGTAAGAATCCAGACTGTATTTATGGGTATTCCTTAGGGGGTTGGGGGCCCTTATGAATGGATCTGGCTATAGGAAAACCATATGTTCCATCAACATTTTTTGAGGTTTGAGAATTAGAAAGGACTTTAAATCTGGAGTTATGTCTAGTTAGGCTTTGTAAGCTTTCAAGGCTTAAGGGCCAAGCCACAAATTCCAGTTCATCGCGGGTATTGTTAGCTCAGTTGCATATCCAACAGCAGTTAAATTACTACTGTTGGGTAATCGTTGGACAGCAGGCACAAAAGGGTGTTGCAGGACCATGAAAACAGTCACTGCAGTAAACAGACATAAGAATCTGAACATGTTCATCTTGAAGTCAGACTGAAGAGCTAGGAAAAGGAAGAATGTTTTTCTCAAGAGTTTTGTTCAGGCAATAACAAAAAAAAAGGTGATGATACCAACACAATCAGTAAATGAAACAAAGGTACTCAAATGAAAGAACAGTGCAAGAGTTGCTGTGTGGAATCGTATATGACAGACTGGCCTGGCCCAAGGTCTTGGGAAAGCTACCTGCATCTGCTTCGGTCTGAGGATAACAATTCTAATGGTAATCTTGGGTTGTTCAGAGATTTTCAGCTTAAAATCTCAGTAGGCTGAGATGACCATTCAGGTGTGGGTGTCCTTTTTAAATGAGAAACATGAATCTGTGAGTCAATACCTTTAAGTTTAGCAGCACAAGGATTAGTTAACAATACTTTATATGGCCCTTTCCATTAGGACTGAAGGGCATTTTTATGGAGATGGCATTTCCAGTAGATATAATCTCCAGGTTAGAGATCATGATTTGTAGATCTCTGCCTTCCAGAAGCAAGCTATGGAGAGATTGCTCTATGTGTGGGAGTCATAGAGCCCTTATAAGTTTTTTGCAGTAAACAGGTATTATTTCAGCAGTGCAGGTTCATACATAATTTGATCTAATCTCATGAGTCTCCAAGTAATAATTTCTAAAGGAGACAATCTATGCTTGCCAAAGGGAGCAGATCTTAGGTTGAGTGATACCAAGGGAGAGACTTTAGACTAAAGCAGATTAAAAGACTCTGTGGATTTTGCCAATTGAATTTTGATGACCTACTAGTCTCTTCTACAAGACCAGAGAATTGGGGATGATAAACACAACAGAAATGTAAAGTCAGCCAGATCTTACAAACGGATTGTACAACTTGTCTTGTGAAAATCAGTTCTCCAGGCACTATGGAGCTGTGAGGGGATTCCCCAAGGAATTTATGGCTGAGGCTGTGGCTCTGCCGCATGAGAATGCTTCCACGCAATGAGAAAACATACAAACCATTAATAACACATATTTGTACTCTTGAGAAGGAGGCAACTGAATCAAGTCCATTTGCCAAACTTTAAAGGGTCCTAATGACAAGGGAAAATGCCCAACAGAGGTATGTATGGGCTTTCCAGGGTTGTGCTTTGGGAAGATTTGGTGTTTGGGGTCTGCCTGGGAAGCTACCTATGGAAATGGCTTCCAGGAGTATTGCTGTCCCCTATAAAACCATTTTATCAGCATTCCAGTGAGTTAAGCCATGTACATATTGTAATATGTGATGTTGTATGCAATAAGAGGGGAGTGGTTGGTCCTTGGGACCTACCCATAAGTTTCTTTTAAAGTCAAGTTTGTAGCTTTGTTCTCACAGTTTTCTTTCTTTTTTGTCAAACAACTAAATATCTGGTTCCATAGTGTTATCTTTTAAATCTCCAATTGCTTCAGCCAGTAGCATAGGTTCTTCCATTAGGGGCCAAGATTGGGTCACTGCTTAGTTTTATAGTCTTTCTCTTTTTCTTTTCATTTTGAATATTTTTATTGTTGTTCAAGTACAGTTGTCTCCATTTTCCCCTCACAATCCCCCACCCCACCCAACCTATAACCT